CTTCTGAGCTGTTCAGGTCATCTCAGAGTACTATACTAGCTGTCAGATGCCAGACCCTGGGCTGGAAGGGACCTTGAGGGTCCACTGATCTCTGAAAGCTTGATTATTGCTTCATTGTGGAAAATTGCCTCCTCKCTTTTATTTAAAAAAAAAATTGTCTAATTTCACATGCACAAAAGTTGTAGTGATTCTAAAGTAAAAAATCATTCCCAACATCATGACTGCAATCATGCAACCTGTTTCCATATGTCCGTATTKCTTGCAGTCCTTGTTTGTATACATTTATATGACATTTACAGGATTATAATCATCATTAGATAAAAATGTTCCTTTTTCATTTAACAACCAATCATTATTTTTCCATGTTGACACAGGACTTAATGAGTTGTCACCGTTCCATAATACCTTAATTGATTAGATATATCTTTTTTTTAATATTTTATTTTTTAGTTCTCGGACACAACATCTTTGTTGGTATGTGGTGCTGAGGATCGAACCCGGGCCGCACGCATGCCAGGCGAGCGCGCTACCGCTTGAGCCACATCCCCAGCCCCAGATATATCTTTTTTTAACATTATTTTTTAACTAAAACCCATTGTTTCATGACAGCTCAACATTTGTGTTTTCAGACTCTATGGGTTTTGGCAAATGAAAAATAACATGTATCTACCATGATAGTATCATAAAAAAATAGCTTCACTACCCTCAAATCCTCAAATTCTTCTACTGTGGACATTCACACTGTTTTTTTTTTTCTCCTTCCTTCCTTCTATTATGAATGTGGTTTCCTTGGACATCTCTGTGTAAATTCCTCTTTCCCTTTAGCTTGATTCTTTTAGAATACGTCTGCCCACATCCCCGTTACTTACACAGTTTTGCTTTTATTCAATGACTAGCATTTGCTGAGAACCTGCTGTTTCAGCTGCTAAAAGCAGACACACATTGATGGAGATAAGATTGTGGAGCACAAAGAATTCTCTCCTTAGTGATGGARAGAGACACCTTAACAGATAAATTAGCATATACCGTGGCAAAGAGGTATAATACAGGGAAGAGCAAGTCCATCTAGCAAGAGAATGCTCCCATCCGCTGTATTTCTTTTCTTTTAAAAAAATTTTGTTTAGTTGTAGATGGGCACAATACCTCTGTTTTATTTATTTATTTTTATGTGGTGCTGAGGGTCGAAACCAGTGCCTCCCACTTGCTAGGCGAGGGCTCTACCGCTGAGCCCCACCCCACCCCCATCTGCTGTATTTCTTAGTAAAGGGTGCCTGTGTTCCCTGCCCACAGCAATGTGTGGTGATGCCAGCCTCCATGCAATCTCTCCAACCTCAGTGCAATTACTAAAAACATTCAACGGAGGAAATGTGAAGCTCCACTGACAGTAATAATGATCATTTATTGAATTCCTATGGTGTTTCATTAATCCTCTTAATAATGAGGTGAGATGGATTATTTTTGCCCCATTTTACAGATTAGGAAATGGAGGCTCAGAGATGGGAAATGATTTGTCAGAGTCACATAGCTAAAAGTCACAGAGGTAGGTTGGCTACAAGTTCACCCAGTTCAGCTCGGCAATCTCTCTTGGAGCTAATGGAACACCATGAGGAGAATCCTTTACAAACTTAAAGACCTTCTCAAGGGGATATGGGGCACAGTTGGGTTCTATTCTCTGCAAATATAAAGCTTTATTAAGACTGGAGAGCCCAGTTTCAAGTCTATTCAAATGTATTCTCTCCTTTATCTTCAACACACATTATCAGGTGGTTTTCCTATTGCTTTCCCCCATTGTTATGAGTTAAAGCAGTGGGTATGGTGGTGCACACCTGTAATCCTAGCTAGTTGGGAGGCTGAGGCAGGAGGATCTCAAGTTTGGGCCAGTCTCAGCAACTTAGTCAAACCCTGTTTTTAAATTTTGAAATTAAAACATAAAAAGGGCTTTGGGGTATAGCTGAGTGGTGGAGCACCCCTGGATTCAATCCCTAGGGGAGAGAAAGCGAGAAACYAGATAAAAATTAATGTTCATTTAGCAGCTAGTATTTGGATGATTACTCTAAAATCCCTTCTGATTTAGTGGTGCTGCCAAAGTACTAGAGAGTACACAGGGAAGAGCACATTCTTACACTCCTTTGTGCCAATGTATGATCTTCCTGGAAGGTATTATTTGTCCCTCCTTTGACATGACTATTTCCAGTCATGACCATATGTAATATTRCATACAAAAATACATAAGCACATAGGAACTCACATGGATACAAACATGTAAGCACTCACAAATATTTCCTGGGTTTAAGGAATTACTAGCAATGAACTTGCATGTAAATAGAAAGAAGTTGTCTTTGGCTAGGTTCCCAAGAAACAGTCCCTGAGACTGGGGTTCATGAGCAAGGGATTTATTAAGGAAATGCTCCCAGGAGAAACCATAACTGAGCAGAGAAGTGGGCCAGGGAGGTGGGAAGACTGAGCAAAGGTGTGAATCCCAGCCTGACCCCAGGGGAGCTCCAGAATATTAATCACACCTCCGTGTCAGCTCAGGCAAGGCGAGGGAGTTGAATTTTGGTACTCCTGTATCAGGCAGTTGCAGGCTTTGGGGATATAACTCTGTTCATATTCGACTCTCTGGACTTGGACAGAACAAATTCAGCAGCTCTTGGGAAATCCTCTRAAGAAGGTGGCAGATGCAAGCTGCTAGAAGGAAAATGGGCAGAAGAGGGAGAAGGGCACACAGAGCAGGTCAAGGGCATCCTGCTCTGAATAGTCTCCACTCTGATACCTGGTGCCCAGCAGTCAGGAGCACAGTCCCTGGAATGAGATGGGATTTGCTTTTCAACTTCACTACCTATAGAACCTGCCCCCTTGAACACTTGTTTTTCTCCTTTGTAAAATGAGAACAGTGTCTTCTAGGGAAGGTGGAAAGATTTCAGATCTGTTATTCAAAGGATYGTTTTTGATGATGATCACAAGCAGGTGCTGAGCAAATGGTAGCTATTAGTTCTGACACCATACAAAGATAATTTTTAAAATACTGTGAGCTCAGCTGGATCATACACAGAAAAATTCCTTTCTCATACCGTGCCATGGTAAGTTATATAGAGAGAAGATACCTTCCTCCTATTACCTCAGAGAGACCGTCAGTCTGGAGATCAGTAATGAGCTTATTTTCTGAAAAGCCCATYTCCCACTTCTGCCTACTTTCCACTCAAGCAGGAGGAAACTCGGTTTTTGCTCACCAGTGCTTTTTATTTTTAACTCTTTTATAATGAAAATCTTGGAACAGATTATAAAAAGTGAGAAGAGAGCATAATGAGCCCCTGAAGAGTCTGAGACAGCCAGTTCCAACAAAATCATCAATTCAACACGTCCCTCCTTTCTATATTATTTGGAAGCAAACACCAGAAAATTCTATCACTTCATCCACAAATATCTCAATATGTATCCCGAAAGGATAAGGACTCTTTTATTTTAATTGTTAAATTAGCATACCCTAAAACTGCTTTTGACAGCGTGTGTAGTTCCATGAATTTTCACATGTACAGATTTGGGTTGCCATTGTTAAACCCAGGATACAGAGCAGTCCCATCACCACAGAGAAATCTTTTTTTTATTTAAATCCATAGCTAAAACAACACCATCATCATCACACCTTTAAAATTGACAGTAACACATAGACTTGGTTTTTTTTTTTTTTAATACTGGGAATTGAAATCAGGGGCCCTTTACTACTGAGCTATTCCCAGTACTTTTTTTTTTTTTACATTTTTTTTTTACAATTTTACTGATATAAAAGATGCTTAACACAATTTAAAATTAATAATAAAATATGCAATATTCTTTCCTCTGAATTGTATCCAGCAAACTGAATCCCCCAGAATGCTGTGCTGATTTTTATTAAGATCTTCCATTCACAGCTCATCTATGGCTGCAGCTGATGATGGCAAGAGTATAGTCCTGATATTAATGTCAGTTGATACCCAGTACTTATTTTTGAGACAATCTCATTAAGTTGCTGAGGCTGACCTCAAATTTGCTATCCTYCTGCCTCAGCCTCTTTAGTCCTGGGATTATAGGTGTGGACCACAACACTCAGCAGCAAATACATTTTTAAAATGTGTTCTAATTGGTTATACATGAGAGTAGAATGCATTTTGACACACCATACATAAACGGASTAGAACTTTTTGTTCTTCTGGTTGTACCTGATGTAGGATCACACTGGTCATGTAGTCATATATTTACATAGGGTATTAATGTATGTTTCATTCTACTATCCATCTTAATCTCATACCCCCTCCCCTCACCCACTCCCCCTGCCTAATCCAAAGAACCTGTATTCTTCCCTAGGGACTTCCCCTTGTTGTGAATTAGCTTCTGCATATCAGAGAAAACAGTTGGCCTTTGGGGATTGGCTTACTTATATCTTAGCATGATATTCTCCCAGTTCCATCTATTTACTGACAAATGCCATAATCTCATTCTTCTTTAAGACTGAGTAATATCCCAATGTTTATATATACCACATTTTYTTTATCCATTCATCTGTTGAAGGGCATCTAGGTTGGTTCCATAGTTTAACTATTGTGAGTTGAACTGTTATAAACATTGATGTGGCTGCATCACTGCAGTATGCTGATTTTAAGTCCTTTKGGTATAAACCAAGGAGTGGGATAGCTGGGTCAAATGGTGGTTCCATTCTAAGTTTTCTGAGGAGTCTCCATACTGTTTTCCAGAGTGGTTGCACCAATTTGTAGTCCCACCAGCAATGTATGTGTGTGCCTAGTTCCCCACATCCWCACCCCCATTTTTTGGTGTGAATTTACATATGTATATATATTTGAATTTATATATATATAATATAATATGTATAAATATAATATATAAATATAAAGTATATTTTGTGAATTTAAATATATTTTTTCTATTTAGCAACCTCTTCATTGATAGAAATTAAAAAGCTTCTCAAGGATGTACTTTTCATTTTGTGCTTTTATTTTTATTTTTTCAGCTTCCTTTTTAAATTTCTCTGAGATCTCTTCTGCAGTTGTACAGGCCAAAAGCTTCACCACCTTTTCATGAGATTTACCACCCTTATTCAAAATCACATCACTCCTCCCAAGTTCTAAAACCTTGGAAAGGTACCGACAGAGCTCAGCCTCTCCCTCTGACGGAGGTGCTACCGTAGCTACATTTAAGGCTTCCATTGTCACATCTGTTACAGCTTTTTGTTTGGAGCCAGGTTTGGCATGGATGGCTACGGTGACACAACCTTTAGGATCGACTGCCACGGGACCTAAGGGAGGGAGCCATCTCTCTGGTTCCTTGCTTTGGCTTTCATCCTTGTTCGTTGCACTAGCTGTCTTAAGCATCTCGGCTCCAGAAGAGGAAGCTCAGGTGCCCAGCTCCGTCCAGAGATGACTAAATCCCACCACCAAGCCACACCATTCTTCTGGGAAGTCTCCACGAGGCAGCCTGGCACAGAAATGCGCTCTAACAAATACTTTAAAGGAAAAACATGATCCTACTTCTCTACAATCATGGATGGTCTCCCAACACACTCCATTTATAGTGTTCCTTTTGCAAAGGCAACAACATTCATGTCTTGACACTCAAACGTGCCATAAGTAGAACATGTTCTAAGCACTTCTCACCCTTGCTTCTGACAAGAGTTCCAAATTTGACAACAATTATTTCATTTTCTTCTGCATATAATCTTCCTGCTTAATTCAGATCTCTTTCTTTGATAAGCATCCCCCGCCCCCTGCTCCTGTTTTCTTTCTTTCTTTCTTTCCTTCCTTCCTTCCTTCCTTCCTTCCTTCCTTCCTTCCTTCCTTCCTTCCTTCCTTTCTTTCTTTCTTTCTTCCTTCCTTCCTTCCTTCCTTCCTTCTTTTTTCTCCCTGGTACTGAGATTGAACCCAGTGGCACTTAACAACTGAGCTACATCCCCAGCCTTTTGTTTTGTTTTGTTTTGAGACAGGGTCACAACTAAATTGCTGAGGCTGACCTCAAATTTGCAATCCTCCTGCCTTGGCCTCCTGAGTAGCTGGAATTTCAGGTCTGTGCCTCCACTCCCAGGTGATAGATATTTTGTAACACCTTCGCTTCTCCTATTTAATAGAATTAGCCAGCTCAGAGTGATAGAAGGTAGCTGTGGTCTTAGGTTTTCACTGAATGACACCAAATTTTATCAAAAATATCTCAAATACTGCTTTTATTACTTAAATAAGTGGTTTAGAATCTTAAGAGTTGGAAGGGAACTTAAAAAACATTTTGCTAAGATGCCCTCACTTCATGGATAAGAAAAATCAGCTTAGAGAAGTTTTGAAATTTGTAAAAGGCACGAGGCTGGTTAAGATAAGAGTTGGAACTAGACTTGAGGGCTCTTTCCATTATACCATGTGGTTGAGCAGGATTTCTCCTTCTACCCTGCTGTCCCCTGATTGTGGGTTCCCTTACCATTTGTGTGTCCATGTGCTATGAGCAGCACTTAAGAGTCCTGAAAGCTGCGCATGCAAACACACACACACACACACACACACACACACACACACACACACGAAGTACTTTCTGAAATGTCCAGAAAAGGCTAATGTGTACAGGCAGAAAGCAGATTAATGGATAACCAGGGCTGTAAGAACAAGGATTCACTCCAAACTGGCCTGAGGAATGTTTGGGGGGTGATATTAATGTTCTAAAACTGGACTGACATAGTATTTGTTCAATTCTGTAAATTTGCTAAAATTACAAGCTTATCACAGGTGGAGTTATGGTACCTGTGATAAGGTAATTATACGTCAATAAAGCTGTTCTTTAAAAAAAAAACTGCATAGAGATATTTAATGGTCTCTTCTAACAAGACAGTGGAACGTAGTGATGGTGGTTCAGTTCAGCAACTCCCTGATGTGCTCAGACTCCATCYAGGTCCCCCTATCTCTAGTCCACCATCCTGAGCACTTGGGCCTTTTCTTTTCTTGCTCCTCTTCTCGTAGTGGTAACATGGTTGTTGTAGCCCCCAAACAGGCCCAAAGACCCAGCAAGAGAAAGGGTGGCATCAGGGAGTTCTTCGTGCCCTCCCATCTCTTGTATTTGTGGAATTTCCCAGCCCGACCTCTTCAGAATCAGGTCACATGTCACCATCCCCATATGCAAGAAAGGCTGAGAAAGCCACTAGATAGCAAAGGAGGGTGAAKTTATCATGATGGTCATAGTGCTGGACTGGCCATGTTGACTCCCCAAACCAAAGTCAAGTTGTTGGCAAGATAAATGCTTCAGGATGCTGGGTAGGGGGTGGGCATGGTGGGATGGGTTGAGTGGGCAAGTAAGAGTGTCTGCCACACCAACAAGCTCAAAATATGCTAATATGTTATGATTTGTTCAGAGATTTTATAGCATGAAGAATATAAGCACAAAAGCCTGAGAGAGACTTCTGAGGTTCAAGGCCAACCCCACTGCTATGACTTGAATTGTGTCCCCCACCCGAATTCATATAAGGAAGCCCTAGCCCCAAATCTCAGAATGAGACTCTTTTGGAAATAGGACCTATAAAGAYGGGATTAACTTGAAAGGAGGCCATTAGGGTGAACCTTAATGGGATCTGACTGGGGTCCTATAAAAAGACACCAGGGCCACACATGCCCAGAGGGTCGGCCCTGTGACTAGGCAGAAAGAGGGCAGCCATCTGTAAACCAAGGGGAGGGGCCTCAGAGTAAAGGAGTCCTGTCGGCACCTTGAACTTGGGCTTCCAGCCTCCAGAACTAAGAAAATAAGTTTCTGTTTAAGCCATCCAGGCTCTGGCATCTCATTACAGAAGCCCTAGCAAACTAACACGCCCCTCCATCCAATTCACTGTGAGTTTAGGTGAGTTCATTGCCACTTAAACACTCTGTGACTCTGTTTCTTCCACTATGACCTGGGGATAACAGAGTGACGTGAGAACGAAGTGAGTTAACCCATATAAAGAACTTTGAACAGTGCCCGCCACATAGTCAGCATTATTTGGAGTGAGAGCATCATGTGTATGTGTGATTATATGGAAATACATGATCTTGGCATGTCTTACCTACTGTCATTCTTTTGGTCAACAAATATTCATTGAATGTTTATTATGTGCCAAACAGTGAGCTAGGCACTTGAATAAAACAATGAACAAAGGATACTGCCTCCTGACTTTGCTGAGCTTGTATTCTGACAGGAGAAATCAACCATAAATAAGTTGACAAATATATAAATAAGATAATTATAGGTTGTGATAAATGCCATGAAGGAAATATCTATAGTGATGATATAGAAGGAAGAAYTTCTATTAAATTGGGCAGGCAGGGAATAACTAAATGAGATCTGGCTGGTAAGATAGACAGCCACATAAGTAGCCAAGAGAAGAAATTTTAGGCATTGAGAACAGTTGGTGCAAAGGCCCTGGGAAAGGAAAGAGTTTGGCTTGATCTTGACTGGTCCAGAAGCTGGAGTGAGGGACTGGGTCCTGGATGAGGCTGAAGTGGTATCCAGGCCCCAGGCCACAGCACACTTTGTTGGCAAGGGAAGGCATTTGGGTTTTATTCCTAGTGCAAAGGAGAACCATTAATGGGAGGCATGGTTTCTGTAATGTGTTTTTTAATTACCAAGGCTACTGTGTGGAGAATGGATTGAGAGCAGATAAGAGTAGATGAGAAGCCGGGCACAGTGGCACACACCTGTATGTAACCCCAGCAGCTCAGGAGGCTGAGGCAGGAGGATTGCAAGTTCAAAGCCAGCCTGGGCAAAAGYGAGGCCCTAAGCAACTCAGTGAGACCCTGTCTCTAAATAAAATACAAAATAGGGTTGGGGATGTGGCTCAGTGGTTGAGTGCCCCTGAGTTCAATCCCCCCAAAAAGGGAGTAGATGCTGAGACCCACTATGAACAGGTTGAAGTAGAGTGATGGCAAAGAAAATAAAGAGGAGTCCACTGGATCATTTGTGGTGTGTGTGTGTGTGTGTGTGTGTGTGTGTGTGTGTGTGTGTTTAATGACAGCCATGTGCTCACTATGCTGGCTCAGTGGACGACTTCACGATCTTCCAGGTCTTCTCATCTTGGGCCTGGGCTGCCCCTTCCCTTCACCACCACTATAGATGTCGATATGCCCACTTTCACCTCCAGGCTGTGCTTCTGGGTGGTCAGCAAGGTTCAGGCTTCCATGTGAGGAGRTCAGAGGAGTAGCAAGCATCCCTGAAGGCAAGACGGGCATGTGCCAATCACTGTCACTGGTCATGAAGACAACTGGGCACTCACTCGGAGGCCGAATGGCACTGGTGGTAAATGAAGCTTTCTCTGGACAATGCCTGACTTCAAATCTTTCTTCATTGTCCTGTTCCCTGGTCTCCTCTTTTTCTGATCCCACAGTACTGAAGGGAAACTTGTTTTACAAGTCTTCACCTGAATCTGTCTTAAGTTAGGTGGATAAAGTGCATTTTCATCTTACAATATTTTCAGTTTGTGGTGTGTGTGTGTATGTGTGTGTGTGTGTGTGTGTGTGTGCGTGTGTTTAATGACAGCCATGTGCTCAGTATGTAACCCATCCTATGTAAGCCAAGGAGCATCTGTATATATGATTTGGTTTTCTTTTTCTGAAGTGGGTGCATCTCTTTGCTCTGTCCAGGGGAAGGTTTCCACGTGGTGGARGGAGTTGTGTTGAGATTTTCAAATATTAGCCGGACCTATACATGTATGTGCAACTGGAATACGGGCAGAGCTGTTCTAGTCAAGCCACTGTTCCTGTGGTTCTAGCCCAACTCCAGGGATGCAGAGAGAGCAGGGGTGTCCCTCCACGCCYGCGAGCATGGTTTGGATAGAGCTCCATTCAAGGGCAGTGGTCAGAAGAAAGTCACAAGTAGCCCCACCAATTACAGCTTAAAAAGACTTGAGCCAGCCCTGCCCCTCTGCCAGCAAGGACAGCGGCTGGCTGCCTGGCATCCTTGATGATCAYGCCCCATCTCATGTCAGAAGCTTTAATTAATCAACCCAGGCTGCTCTTGGTGTTATTTCTCATCAGGTTTCATTTGTGTAAATCTCTAAATGGGCAAGGACAGAGGACACCACAGTAACATTCTCAGCCTGATAGTGAATGAACGGGTGACCCTGGATCTAAAGTCAGAGTCTGTGCTAGCTAGAAGATTGTTTCAGATCTGCGACTTTAATTTTACGGCTGAGACCCAGAGAATTTGGCTGGCCCAAGGTGACACAGTCAGCTAGTGGCGCAAGAACTCTCTTGTCAGTTTCCAGACGGGAGGTTGTTAGGTGGAGTGTGATTTAATYGGCCTGATTGACTTCCACAGGGCCCTCCGTCCCACCCAGTACTCGAGGGCCTGTTGTGTTGCCTACTGGCAATGCTCAAAGTGGTGCTGTGGAGTTAAACTCAGTCTCTCTAAATCTTGATTAGTGGGCGTGCATGCCGAGCGGTGGAAAGCATCATAGAAAATTAAAACAAGGGCACTTCTGTTACTCTCAAACACKGTATCTATAGCGACAAAAACTGCTAACAAAGGACAGCCAAGGAGAGGTTCAGCCAGCACCTCTCAGAGAAAGGATGGAGTCAGCCTGCCTTTCCAAGTCTCAGGGTGCTGTGGGCTGCAGGGGCCCTCTGAGGGGAGAGTGGAGATGGGAAGTCTGAAGGCMGGGGCCGAGCATGCAGACTGTAGTGCTGGATGTCTACCTTTCAACTGGTGCATTCGAAGGGGCCAAAGGTGAGGGAAGGAATTAAGGTATATATGCAGTGCTCAGCTGCCTGTAAAAAGCTAACAGGGCTGGGCGTAGTGGTGCACACCTCTAATCCYAGCAGCTCAGAAGGCTGAGACAG